GACTGAATTAATCAAGTAACAGAAAGTGTATTGATCTGCTCTCATAGAAAGAAGTAGAAAGATAGAAGAACACACTAGAAACATAAAAATCGAAAGCTATAGTTACCGTGCCGGGAATTGAACCTGTCACCACAAAACACCACAACTTGATCACAAATCACTCCCAAGGGAACATTCTAAGAACTGACCCAGAGTGGTCACAACTGTGTTAACAACAAAATACAAACACTGAACAACCTCCTGGCCAAGATCACCAGCAACATTAAAGATTGAACAGAGTACACAAACAATCCCGAACGAGCTCCCAGATTTTTAGCTGGAATGTGTTCTGTCACATACCGCTCCTGTCACGTGCCTGATTTAAGGATTTCTCCTTAAGAACCAACAGCACTCTGAAATAAAAATGTTGAGTCGTTGGCTCGTATTGGTCTAAGGGATATCCCGTGCCCAATATACGCTCAACGTATTTCAGGAGTAGGGCAACTCAAGCTTTGGCAATACAAAATATATAATATTCCTAGGCACACTTGGCTGGACACCCCCACTACTATAAAAAGGTAGCCCCCAGGTTATGATAGTATACTATCATAGCCATGTTAACACAGATTACACTTATTACTCACACAAACATAAAAGCTAGACAGTAAGAATGGTGAAACAGGGACACCCAAGTCAGCCATGAAAATTTCTGCATGTAATAAGTTCAATATATACACATATATAAATGAATAGATACTCAAGAGTGTTCAGTTAATGGAGTTCGTGAATTAATGACACAACCCAGATATTGAAGCAGCCAGATGTAGTTCCTGGACATTACATGAGTTCAACATTGGAAATCAAAGGAAGCTGTGGGCAGAGAGCATGTATGTGATTAATAGATCACTTATCCCAGTTCGTAGGTCATTGCTTCCCTCAGTCCATGGTGATTCGACTGTGGTTGACTCAATAGATAGATATGCCTTGGCTTGATCTGGTACACGCTGACTGTCCTAAATATGCGGAAACATGAACTTCATAGGAGCCCAACAAAGCTCTTGAAGACTGATTCTCTAGATTGATGACATAGGTGTCTGCAATTGTCTACTAGTCCTGGAACTCACATACAAGCTCCTGTCATGCTGAGGTAGTGGCAACAGTAGGTAGGACTTTTGAGTATGCTTGGTGCCCAGAATGGTATGGTTTGGTGGTTGTTGGCTGGACTGTGATTCGTCTGCCTGGTGTCTAAGGAAGTATCAACCTAAGCTTAGGAATTCTTCAAAGATAAAACTGGTACTTTAAATGCCCCAATTTTATTCATAGACTGTATACACGTCTTGACACTTTGGAGATCATGCTAAAGAATGCTGCTCAAAACCGCCGCTAGCGTCTCTAGGAAAGAAGTCCCTGTATTCATGCCAAAGGGGTAAACAGGCTTACAGGAATTTCTGAATTATACACTAGAAATATTCATCCCACAGTTGCAAGTTTTGAAATGTAGACATCTCAAAGCAACTAGAGGGTCTAGGAATGATTATTTCGCCAGATACAGGTATATATCAATATAAGGGACTATATATCCCTCCGGACGGGTTTAAGTTTGAAATGTGACGTGCCCGCTTATGGAAGTCAGCGTCACGACTCGTCCATAGTTTAGGGTTGGCTGTTCACTTCATGACAGATGTCTGTCTGTCTGTCTGTCTGTCTGTCTGTCTGTCTGTCTGTCTGTCTGTCTGTCTGTCTGTCTGTCTGTCTGTCTGTCTGTCTGTCTGCCTGCCTGCCTGCCTGCCTGCCTGCCTGCCTGCCTGCCTGCCTGCCTGTATGTATGTATGTATGTATGTATGTATGTATGTATGTATGTATGTATGTATGTATGTATGTATGTATGTATGTATGTATGTATGTATGTATGTATGTATGTATGTATGTATGTATGTATGTATGTATGTATGTATGTATGTATGTATGTATGTATGTATGTATGTATGTATGTATGTATGTATGTATGTATGTATGTATGTATGTATGTATGTATGTATGTATGTATGTATGTATGTATGTATGTATGTATGTATGTATGTATGTATGTATGTATGTATGTATGTATGTATGTATGTATGTATGTATGTATGTATGTATGTATGTATGTATGTATGTATGTATGTATGTATGTATGTATGTATGTATGTATGTATGTATGTATGTATGTATGTGTATGTATGTATGTATGTATGTATGTATGTATGTATGTATGTATGTATGTATGTATGTATGTATGTATGTATGTATGTATGTATGTATGTATGTATGTATGTATGTATGTATGTATGTATGTATGTATGTATGTATGTATGTATGTATGTATGTATGTATGTATGTATGTATGTATGTATGTATGTATGTATGTATGTATGTATGTATGTATGTATGTATGTATGTATGTATGTATGTATGTATGTATGTATGTATGTATGTATGTATGTATGTATGTATGTATGTATGTATGTATGTATGTGTGTGTGTGTATGTTTGTATGTATGTATTATGTATGTATGTATGTATGTATGTATGTACGTATGTGTGCTGGAATCAACATAGCATGAAAGAAAACCAGAGCTGAAAAAGATGGAAAATGCAATTGTAACAAGAAGTTAAAAAAGCAAAAGAGCTACATTTGAGAGTTTTGTCATTAATGAGTGTTTTTCTCCCAACTGATCTGTTGTTACTGCTTCTTCCATCAACGATAAACTGCATTTCATTTGTCGGACTGATTGTGCTGCTAATTCTGACGGTTGCTTCATGCACTAAATGCGTGTGTATGCTGTTCCTTTGCTGTGACTGTAAGTACTGTCACGAGGACCGTGATGGACATTCTGTGTGGTTTTCGTTAGCACGGGAACTGAGTGATCACTTGATTACCCTTCTGGTTTTTGTTAGCACGGGAACTGAGTGATCACTTGATTACCCTACTGGTTTTTGTTAGCTGGAACTTAGTGATCACTTGATTACCCTACTGGTTTTCGTTAGCACGGAAACTGAGTGATCACTTGATTACCCTACTGGTTTTTGTTAGCACGGGAACTGAGTGATCACTTGATTACCCTACTGGTTTTTGTTAGCACGGGAACTGAGTGATCATTTGATTACCCTACTGGTTTTTGTTAGCACGGGAACTGAGTGATCACTTGATTTCCCCACTGGTTTTTGTTAGCACGGAAACTGAGTGATCACTTGATTACCCTACTGGTTTTTGTTATCACGGAAACTGAGTGATCACTTGATTACCCTACTGGTTTTTGTTAGCACGGGAACTGAGTGATCACTTGATTACCCTACTGTTTTTTGTTAGCACGGGAACTGAGTGATCACTTGATTACCCTACTGTTTTTTGTTAGCACGGGAACTGAGTAATCACTTGATTACCCTACTGGTTTTTGTTAACGGGAACTGAGTGATCACTTGATTACCCTACTGGTTTTTGTTAGCACGGGAACTGAGTGATCACTTGATTACCCTACTGGTTTTTGTTAGCACGGAAACTGAGTGATCATTTGATTACCCTACTGGTTTTTGTTAGCACGGGAACTGAGTGATCACTTGATTACCCTACTGGTTTTTGTTAGCACGGAAACTGAGTGATCATTTGATTACCCTACTGGTTTTTGTTAGCACGGGAGCTGAGTGATCATCTAATTACCATACTCGTCACACTAACAAGGTAACTGCTGCCAGGGAACACTGCTAAAACAACGCTATTAAAGAATTTCACCATCTATAGAAGAACAAGCGAAGAAATAATTTTATTTTCAAACTGTCACAGATTAAACACGCAGACCGGTTTTACATTCCACCCTCCCAAACACCCATCTTTCGCACAGCAGTTGATTTAACCAATAAAGTATTAACATACATATATTAACTTATATAATATTATGTATATTATAAAATTCAAGAAACAACATAAAAGAATTGGTAGTAAAATACATGCGCATACACACACAGACACACACACCCAACTTAGACGCAGACATACTTACGCACATCATACATATATACATAGATTCATACACACCTTAATATACACATATGCAAAACTCATACACGCATGCATACATACAACATATATATATATATTCATGCATACAGACACAAACAAGCATACACAGTCACACATCAATGTGCGCTAAACCACGGAGGCTCCCTACCCTGTACGAGGCAGTGTCAATCAATCAATCAATCAACCAATCAATTCACTTTATTCCTAGTGGCACATGAGGCTTTAAAGAAGACTTTCCATGCTTTCCTGTCCTTTGCAATCTTCAGTGCGGTTTTCCATGTCAGAGGTGTCGCATTCAGGTCATTTTCAATCGTCCGTCACCATATATTTTGTGTGTGTGGGAGCCCCATCTTTCTCTTTCCATCTGGTGTCCACGTGAGAGCTGTTTTGATAGGTAATCAGGATTTATTCTCATAATGTGACCAAGCAATTTCTACCTTCTCTTGGTTATCATACTGTCTAGAGTTTCTTGATTTGTGGCTTTAAGTAGTTTAGTTTTTGAGATTGTGTTTAGTCAGAAAATGTTGATGATTCTACATAGACTTGTGTGATGGAAGGTGGATAGCTTGTGTGCATCCTTTTTGGTGATTCTCCAGCATTCGGCTCCATAAAGAAGAAATTGCAAAATAATGCTCTTGTAGAGTCGGAGTTTCGTTCCTCTGCAGTACTGTTGGATATCCAGATTTGCCTCATCCTTTTAAAAAGCAGCTCTACCTTTGCCCAGGCGTGACTGTATGTCTTCTTCTGTTCCTCCTAGTATGGACACCCCACTACCAAGATATGTGAAATGTTCTACATTTTCAAGTGTTTGGTTATTTATGGTCACTGGTTGTTGGTTTAGTCTGTCACAATCTTAGTTTTCCTTGTATATATTCTCAGTTAGACCATTTCTGGTGTGCTTTGTAGTCTGTTACTTTTCTACGTCAAATATAGCGATGATTATTTCATTTTCTCTACAGAATCAATGGACTCTGAAATTATTAGACTTACTGGACTCATTCTATTTTATTTCTGTACAGCACTGTTGGCTGCCGACGATTGCACATACCAGGTGACACATGTTGTATAATTTGTATTACCTTATGTGCATATAATGCTTCGTATATGATGTTTTTATATAGCTAAGAAGAGTAACCCAGATGTTTTGAACGGGGCAAGTGTTGAAAGACACCTTATCACAAACATCGGAAAGAGACATTCATTACGTTTTGGTCTTGTTATGAGAAGAGAAAACTGAAACATACTGTGATCACAGGAAAGATTTGTGGACAGAGAGAGAGAGAGAGAGAGAGAGAGAGAGAGAGAGAGAGAGAGAGAGAGAGAGAGAGAGAGGAAGACAGTGCAAGAAGATTCTAGCTAGAATTTTGTCATGGCATTGAGGGGTTTCAACACACGAACTGATAAACGCATTTGCAGATAGCATATTGTTGAGAGGCATGATCGATCACGCCAGTCTGCAAGCACTTGATGATGATGATGACAGTGTTTTTTTTTTTTTTAGACGAAGCGGTAGTCAATGAATGAGATAGTCTTCTGCTTCTTCTTCTACGCTTATCCGAAGATGTAAAAGGGTGTTACTCGTTTACAACATAGCTGCAATATTTGCACTTTTGGGCAGACACATCCTACGTCTGCAGACATTTATTACGCAGGTAAGCCTTTCCTAGAATGAGGAGGTCACATTTAAATGGTGCTCCTATACTTTTCAGAATGCTTTCTGGTACTCTCGTTTTCAGTTTTAAATAACCAGAAAGACAGAAAAGTTAGATAAATAGATAGACACACAGATAGACAGACAGATAGACATACAGATAGACTTACAGATAGACTTACAGATAGATAAACAGACAGACATATATGTGTTGACCGATTTTCAACAGATATTCGCGTGAAGCTATTTCTCTTTTGTGGTTGATGAGGGCACATAACTAACGCTTAAATGGTGTTGTCAATGAATTCGACTCTAGAAGAGAACACATTACTTGCAATAGGTAAAAAATGTCGACATTCATTGTTTAGGTATGAAACGGAAAAAGGGAAATCCGTTGTTAAAACGCAAACGAAAGATTTGGGAGCGAGTGAACAGTGCTAAAGAATGAAAAGATCAGTACGGTCTGAGGGGATCTGACCGACGCTCGACACTCAGGGGAAAGGCAATACTGATATACAAACAGACAATTACTCGAACCATCGGAATTTTAACTTTTTGCTTGCTGCTGAAGATGGGATTGAGCGCTTATTTGGTGTCCCGAGTGCTGTGATGTCGGTTCCTAATTCAGCATTCAACGCTAAAGAGAAATTTGAAAGTCTTTGTAGGCTTAGCCAGGTCATGGCATACATGTTACCTGTAAAATGTTTAACTGAGAATCGACGTCACAGTATTTGGGACAGTCCCATAAGTGGTCCCTAACTATCTTCAGCAGCAAGCAATGAGTTCCATTTCCGATTGACCATTAACAGTTTGTATATACGTCTCGCCTTTTTCAATGAGTGTTGATCGTCGGTCAAATTCTCTTTTTATACCTCGCGGAGTCATTTTTCCCCAGACCGTAATGATCATTATGTGCCCACTCACTGCTCAGTCGCTCTCAAAGGGCCCTTACTTGGTCCAGTTTGTCATGCACCACTCAATCACCAAGTGGTGCATAACCGCTCTGTCTGTCTGGATTTTAGTTTCTCTCAAACTTCGGTGCACTAGAGCAGTGTTTCCTAATCTTTTCAGTGAAAAGAAAAAAAAAAAAAATCACCAAGCGCCCCCTCTTCCTAGAAACATCTTCATCTTTATGTCCCAGGTCAAGAAGCATATGAGGTCATCATTCACGGGCCTACTCAAGTGATTTTTTCACCTTTAGCCCTGTCCCCATTTAGCACAAATGTTGTGTTTGTTTAAAGCCCCAAACTGAATGTTGCTGGAGGCCCTAATATAAACTAACGGTTGAACTTTGTTTCTAGGACCTCTCCACTGATGATCCTCATCTGAATGGTGGCACTTTGTGTCACCGGGTGTTTATCGCTCAGTGTGATGTCCTAGTGGGGCAGACATTCAGTCAGTCAGTCAGTCAGTCAGTCAGTCCTTACCTCGAAATGTGCATTCTGTAACCAAACGAAAAGAGTAACATAATGGCAGTTTTGCTTTACATCCTCTTTTTTTTTCCCCACCTCGACTAATAAAATGACTGGTCTGTGTTTTTGTTAATCTTCTCTCCAGTTCAACTTCGTTGATTGTTTTAGAAGTATCTTTTGCGTTTTGAAACTCTCAGACAGATGGCGCTACGTTAGCTTCCATGTAGCATTCGTAAGCTCCGCGGGTCCATTTTTACCTGTGACCAAAATGTTATGTTAACTGAATGTGTATTCTTCTTAACCGATTTCCTGTTAACGAGAATTTGGAGTGTAAATGTTCACAGGCATGTTTCTGTGAAGGGACACAGATCATTTGCCAAGATCGTGGTTTGTCAGCCATCCCACCAATTGTTGGAACAGGCCCAGACAATCCAGAGCTAATGTTTGACGTAAGTTGATAATCTGTAAGATATTTAGACAGTACAGGATCATCAGGAATCACCAGCATTTTCAACCTGTGCCTGCCTTCAGAAGGTGCTGGCATTCGATTCCTCTACTCCGCTCTATTGCATGTTGCTCTCTCAAATTCCGACATGGAGTTCACCCCTGTATTTTTTCACGTTCAATAGTTTTCCATTGCTCACAAAGCAGCTGACACCCTATTCCTTTTTGTAAGTTTTTTCTTCAAAATTAACCCATAGCATTTCACATACGAAATCACCAGCAGCTGAATCAGATCATGTATTGAACCATGATCCTGAACTTAAGTCTCTGACGCTGACCACAGTCACACGTCTTTTGTTATCAACCAGGTCTTTTTTTTTTTTAAGATAAAAAAACAACAACACAACAACAAGTGCTAAAATTCTCCACGATATCTCTAAAGAACGGTGACATTACTCACTAGGCTGTGCCTATTACTATATAATGTGATATATCATAACCTAAAAAAAGGTGCAAGTCCTGTCATCAACAATTGTAAGAAGCACCTTCTTCTTCTTTTCTCTTCTCCTGGAATGTCTCCTTGGAGAAGAGATATCTAGAACGGGCCCTTCTGTTCGCCTTGTATATAGTACTTTTCAGTGTCTCTGAAATTTCTGCGGTTTAGGTTCTACTTAGTCTACCCCTAGGTCTGTTATCGTTGTATCTGTTTAACATTGAACCATCTATCTAAAAAGCATCAATGCATAAATGCCGTCTCTACTATGTATTTTCTTGTGAGTGTATGTGTGTGTGTGTGTGTGTGTGAGAGAGAGAGAGAGAGAGAGAGAGAGAGAGAGAGAGAGAGAGAGAGAGAGAGATTAAACAAGCTAGAGGATCCCCCACAATGCACAGCCGTACATCTCACAATTCTCAGGCTTTTTGTCACACTTTTATGACGTCCACTGAGATTCGTCGTATGAAGTATGAAATTAGGCACGCAATATTGAATGACAACCAATCCTGTTGAACTTGACGTCGATGGAAATGTGATATAATTTTGAGGTATTTTAAACATTTAACTGTCCCACCAACTAACTGGCCTTCTCTCAATGACATCAACTGTTTTGGTCCACGGCCACTTATTCAATATATGCGTGGCTAAACTCAATATCTAGAGACCTTTCCACAATCCGCCACCTGGTGAACGTGCCTTGTAGTAGGACAGGACCCAGGACTTGTATATTAGGAGGCAATAATGTTTAACTGCCTCTTGATGTTTATCAAAAGACAAAATATATTTTGGAATGTGGACTATTGATTTGACTAAGGCAACAAATACACGAGTATCATGGTAGAGCGGCCTAGCAAGCTTGCCTCCAAAATGCATTAAAAGACCCCGGATCGATCAAGTCTGAAGTGAATACTACTAAATGAAAACTAAAGGTTATCGGAATAATGTTGAAATTAACACCTATATAAAGAGTCGATGTATCAGTTAATGTAACTCATGATAATGTACACAATGTTCTCAAGGATGGGGTTAGGATTCCTTGAAAATACAAGAATATGCATTGTTCTCTTTCAGACAAACAACATAATGGCAATACAAGCTGGGAGCCTGCCTAAACATTTGAAACGTTTCACTGCATTTGACAATCCTCTAACTACAATAGATAGTTCAGCATTCGTTGATTCAGAGTCAACCCTAGAAGTCCTACAACTATCTAACTTTCGTTTCACTCGTTTTCCGGACGCTTTCATGAACTTAACACACCTGAAATATATCACGATGTACGATGCCAACATTTTGGACTGGAATGCGAAAGTAATGAAAAATATTGGGCCCGGTGTTTTATCTCTGGATCTTCAGAACATGGGCATCGTTGCTTGGCCTGACTGGATACAGTTCTTCAGAAGTCTCATAACGTTAAGTCTAGACGATGGAGGCATTGATTCGCTTCCAGACAACGCCCTGGATATGCTTGCAAACAGTCTGACTACCTTATCTATGAACAATAACAGTTTGACAGCTATCCCTAAGGCAGTGTCCAGACTGAAAGCTTTGCAAATTCTGACACTTTACCATAATAAAATAATTGATATAGCGTGGTTACCTCACTCAAGTAACATAACAAGTCTAGGGCTCAGCTATAACAGACTCTTCAATGCGACTCAGTTGAGTCTTTCACTACGACCATTAGCTGGGTCATTGAATCAAATCAACTTAGTTGGGAACCGATTCACAGAAATTCCAGATTTGTCCTTCCTGAAACATGTAAGTGGTCTGGATTTCTCTTATAACCAGCTTTCAGATTCACAAGCCGGCCCACTACCTTCCAATATTTTCAACCTGAATTTGGAATACAACTATCTGAGGAGAATCCCAGGAGTTTTCTCAAAGTTGCCTACCGTGATGGAGTTGATGATGACAACAAATGTTGTAACAGAAATCCAGGCATCAGACTTTTCCCCTTGGATAGCAACAGTCGATCTCTCTTTTAACAAAATAATGGAATTAACGGACACTAGTTTTCCTCAAAATTCCACCATAACCACTCTGAACTTAAACAACAACCCAATAGCCACAATTTCTCAAAATGTTTTCAATAATCTGTTACGATTAGGTGAGCTAAACATGAAGAATACCAAGATAGCTCGTCTACCTGTTGCGTTATCTGTTCTTACCAATGTTAATTTCTTTGAAGTAGATGGTAGCCCTTACCTGGTATGTACATGTATGGAGAAGAGCTTGGCTCAGTGGATCTTGAGTAGACCTAACATGCCAGATGGTTATTGTGGCTTGTCCACTATACGTAATTTCTATTTTACTCTTAGCCAGTACTGTCCATAGTGATAGCTGTTGTTTTTCTTATTTGTTTTTCTTGTTCTTGTTCTTCTTGTTCTTCTTCTAGTTCTTGTTCTTGTTCTTCTTTTTGTTCCATTTTTTCTTCTTTTTTCCTCTTTTCCTCTTCTTCTTCTTCTTCTTCTTCTTCTTCTTCTTCTTCTTCTTCTTCTTCTTCTTCTTCTTCTTCTTCTTCTTCTTCTTCTTCTTCTTCTTCTTCTTCTTCTTCTTTTTCTTCTTTTTTCTTTTTCTTCTTCTTCTTCTTCTTCTTCTTCTTCTTCTTCTTCTTCTTCTTCTTCTTCTTCTTCTTCTTCTTCTTCTTCTTCTTCTTCTTCTTCTTCTTCTTCTTCTTCTTCTTCTTCTTCTTCTTCTTCTTCTTCTTCTTCTTTTTCTTCTTCTTCTTCTTCTTCTTTTTCTTCCTCTTTTTCTTCTTGTTCTATTTTTCTTTCTCTTCTTCTTCTTCTTCCTCTTCTTCTTCTTCTTCTTCTTCTTCTTCTTCTTCTTCTTCTTCTTCTTCTTCTTCTTCTTCTTCTTCTTCTTCTTCTTCTTCTTCTTCTTCTTCTTCTTCTTCTTCTTCTTCTTCTTCTTCTTCTTCTTCTTCTTCTTCTTCTTCTTCTTCTTCTTCTTCTTCTTCTTCTTCTTCTTCTTCTTCTTCTTCTTCTTCTTCCTCTTCTTCTTCTTTTATTCTCCCCCCCCCCTTCTTCTTTTTCTCTAGTTCCGTCATGCCTTTCAGCGTCAGGTTTTGAAGAAGCATTGTGTTCAAACCTTGGTGTGTTCTACGTGGATGATAATATTACCATCCATGGCTATTCTATTTATCCATCGCTTACGTGGTAGACCTCTAGCTCTGCTTCTATTATTTCTTAAATGACGGGGCTTTCTTGAGTGCGCTATCTGGTGGTCGGGAAGCCGACGAGGTCTAGCGCCTGAGGCTCATCTGTGGATCGGAAGATTGTGGGTTCGATTGATGATGGCGGTTGGACTTTATCAAAATTGATCTTGGCTCCAAGGTCGACCCAGCTTTGATTGGGTAACGTGTACAGTCTTGGGAGGTAAAGGCAGCCGGTGTGATTCTGGGAAAATTTCCCACCAAGTTCTGTTTGGTCTAGAAATATAATTCTAGCCCTATATACCCCATACGCCTGAGACGTGGAAAAGAGTACTTTACTCACTTTTATCTGGTGTTAGTCTTGACACGTGTCCAAATCATTTCAACTGTTGTCTGTTGATGTAGTTTAGAACTACTGGTGCCGCCACAAATTTTTTCCTGATATCGTTTTTTACGATCCTGTTTTTATAATTGTATGTTTTAACAATAAATAAATAAATGCCTAGACTGATTGCCTTTCATATTTAGTAATACGTATAAATGGGGAAACTAGAATATGTTGTAAAGTGAAGAAGCGTTTTCATCACGGGAATGGGGTGTAAGCTACAGGTCTCATACATTTATAGGCCGATCAGCATTCGAGGATCGGTGTAGTGAAAATCACGCCGGTCGCCTTTGCATCTCAGAAATGTATCCTGTAAAAGTTTTAGGGAGGGTCTGCCTGGATGTCAGTGATGTTGAAAAAAGCAATACATCTGACAATGCGGATTTGAGGTGACCCAGAACTAGGTGACCACCACTCCAGGAACATGTAACAACTGGAGATGTACAGGGTGATAAATATACGGGATAATAACGAGAGAGATTTCTTGACACGTGTTTATCACTGCATAGAAGTGTACTTAACTAGACAGGGAAAGGATATAAACTCCGGCCACATACAAGTCGATAATATAAAAATCAAACGAACGGAAGCATCTAAGTACTTGGCATGCTGAAAGAAGAAACACAATTTAGAAAACAATCTGGAAACAAAGTAAACAATGCCCTTTAACATCTGCTTAAGTTAAAGTGTCTGTCTCGCAACACTAAGATCAAAATATTAAAAAAAAAAAAACTTTGATAAGACTAGTCGTTTTATATGGTTTTGAAACTTCGTCTTACGACGAATCTTTGAACCCATCAAAGATGCAAACAGGGGGGAATGGAGAATGAGAAGCAGCAACGAAATTCATAATTTGTTTAAATTGCTATTGATATCTGGAATCATAAGAGCTAATAGACTAAAATGGTTAGGGCATATTAGGAGAATGTCAGAGAAGTGAAAACTATACACACACGGGAGAGGAATGGTCGTAGACCACGAGGCAGACCACGAGACGATGGAGAGATAACGTCCAGACAGGCCTGCAAGTACTTTATCGTATCGGCTTTAATATATCGGGGTAAGATCAGGAGTCCGACAAGGGTGCATCTTGTCACCTTTCCTGTTTCTTACAGTGATAGATTATGTTACGAAGAAAGAAACCAGGGAATAGCCTTAAATGGAACCTTCTCAAACACCTGGCACACTTGCAGATGATGTCTGTGTCATCCGCCAAAGTAAAGAACATCTGCAACAAAAGACAGATAAGATCACAGAAAAAGCAAAACGGACATGGTTACGAATCAATGTCAATAAAACTAAACTGCTGGAGATAACCCCAAACGTGAAAGACTTATAGTAATAGATGAATGAAGGAACAGTAACTGACTTCACTTATCTGGGAAGCAATATATATTTGCTCGGAAGGACATGTAGTGGTTAAAATCAAGCAGAGAATAACATAGGCAAATGCTGCTTACAACAGACTTCAGAGTGCCTGGACATCAAACATCTACAGCACTAAAACTATATATGCTCAGAAGGACATGTAGTGGTTAAAATCAAGCTGAGAATTGTATAGGCAAATGCTGCTTACAAAAGACTTCAGAGTGCCTGGACATTAAACATCTACAGCACTAAAACTAAACTCTAATATACAAAACATGCGTCAGGAAAGTTTTCCTCTATGGTGCAGAAACCTGAAAAACAGACAGAAAGATAGAGAATATGCTCAGAGGTTTAGAGGGAAGACTTTTTAGGAGACTGTTGGGGTATCCATGGGAAGCTACAATCTGCAAGTCTAGATTACAACAAATGACAAACTAAGACAAAGTAAATTTATTTAAAAAAAAAAAAATAAAGGCTATTCGAAGGACAAAACTGGAGATAGAGAGGATGGCTCTTGATCGAGTTAAGTAGTTAAGGAGTTAAGCATCGAAAAAACAGAACTTTCCGCCGGACTTTACAGCTTGTGAGCGTGAAGAAGAAGAAGATATATAAATGAAGAGTAACCTCATTTCGGAGAACAAAAACATCACAAACATTACAAGCATTATCTTTAAAATGTGATAGGTCATTTGCAGATTGTCGCTACCACGAAACGTGTGCGTGTATGTATGTGTGTGTGTATGTGTGTGCAGCATGAATACCGTATTAGTCAATGTAAAAGAGTTTTTTTTTTTTTTTTTATTCTCGAAATAGCCCTTAACATCTGGCTGGTCTTGTACTGTGAAGGTACGAATAGGTGTACCGTCATATTGTCCTAGTTTCATGCGATATAGAAACAGTTAGTCAGTGGCATTCCCACGCCTCCAGATGCTAAAACCTGCCGACAAACTCCGCTGACGGAAAACTACCGTAATGCTCCAACAATCTCAGAAGGATGTTTTGTGCAAAATGAGCAAAGGACAGTATGCACAAGGTGGAAAAAGTGTAAAATGAGCAAAGGAAATTGTGCACAACATGGAAAAAGTGTAAAATGAGCAAAGGAAAGCGTGCACAACGTGGGAAAAGTGTAAAATGAGCAAAAACAGTGTGCACAACGTGGAAAAAGTGTAAAATGAGCAAAGGAAAGCGTGCACAACGTGGAAAAAGGTGCAAAATAGTATGATCTTAGAGATGTGTGTACCAGAATAGGTGAAAGAATTAACTCTGAATGTGTTTCTAGAAAATGTATTTCATTATGTACAGTGTGTCCTTTACAATGGAGCTTCTCTCACATCAAAAAGTACTGCATATACATTCATAAAGACATGAATACATGAATACATACATACATACATACATACATACATACATACATACATACATACATACATACATACATACATACATACATACATACATACATACATACATACATACATACATACATACATACATACATACATACATACATACATACATACATACATACATACATACATACATACATACATACATACATACATACATACATACATACATACATACATACATACATACATACATACATACATACATACATACATACATACATACATACATACATACATACATACATACATACATACATACATACATACATACATACACACATACATACATACATACATACATACATACATACATACATACATACATACATACATACATACATACATACATACATACATACATACATACATACATACATACATACATACATACATACATACATACATACATACATGCATGCATGCATGCATGCATGCATGCATGCATGCATGCATGCATGCATACATACATACATACATACATACATACATACATACATACATACATACATACATACATACATACATACATACATACATACATACATACATACATACATACATACATACATACATACATACATACATACATACATACATACATACATACATACATACATACATACATACATACATACATACATACATACATACATACATACATACATACATACATACATACATACATACATACATACATACATACATACACTCACACACTCACACACACACACATACACACATACATACATACACTCACACACACACACATACACACACTACATACATACATACATACATACATACATACATACATACATACATACATACATACATACATACATACATACATACATACATACATACATACATACATACATACATACATACATACATACATACATACATACATACATACATACATACATACATACATACATACATACATACATACATACATACATACATACATACATACATACATACATACATACATACATACATACATACATACATACAT